TTCCGGCTGTTTTCTTTTTGCTTATGTGGTGCTGAGGAATCGAACCCAGGGCCTCAGGCATGCAAGGCAAGTGCTCTACCACTGAGCCACCTTCCCAGCCCCATGGAAGTTCCATTTTTAAGGCCCATAATGATGACTATATTCTTGGATAGCATAAGGGAAAGCATTATTTAAATTTGTGAAATGGCCCTTACATCCCATCTAAAATTAAATTATCTTGATATATTATCAAGATAAAATATTTGCTGGGTTTTTTTTTAAAAAAAGGACAAAATAGTCTGTAATATATTTTTGTATGAAGATCAATTGGCTTAGTGTGGTTTATAAACCATTCTAGCTAACCAGAGGTACATGGTGTTGCTATAAGTTATGCGCATGCTGATTTGGGGGGAAAGAATATATAATCTGAATTCAGAGGACAAGTGTTACAAAGAGGAAACAAACAAAAAAACAAGGGGCTGGGAAGGGGGCTCCGTGGTAGAGTGCTTGCCTTACATGCATAGGGCCCTGGGTTTGATTCCTCAGCACCACATAAACAGAAAAAGCCGGAAGTGGTGCTGTGGCTCAAGTGGTAGAGTGCTAGCCTTGAACTGAAGAGCTAAGGGACAGCGCCCAGGCCCAGAGTTCAAGCCCCATGACCAACCAAAAAACCAAAAACAATAAAAGGATCCAGCTTGGAGAAGCATTTCTAAAATACCTGTGGGGACTACATTTCTTTTATTAATCACATCAGCCACTGGCCATCACTCTTCCCATTTAATCACGTGTATCGGCCAATGGGCAGCTTTGCTTCTTCTGCGTGTTATTCAGTGGGTATAAATCATGAAGGCTTATCATTGCCCTGAGGGAGAAAATTGCTCTTAGGATTATTTACCCCTGCAAGGGGTAGCCCTGTTAGACCTTTAACTCCCTGTCGGATGGATGGGGGAATAGGAGCCAATGTGTTTTCTCCGTGCTGAGTAGAAGAGGAGGTCGGTTGATGCTTTCTGGAGGTCGTTCTAGGGAGTCCTCTCTACCTTTCCCACTGACCTTCATAGCTGACCTTGACGGCTGTGTCTCGCTGGGTGCTTCGGGAGGTGAAATGAAGAGATATCTTTGTAAGGAATTTGATCCAGGGCTTGGCTAATAGTTGTCCCTGCACCGCCCCCCCGCCCCATGACATTCTACGTCCCCAGTTACCTGGATTCTTCTCAGATGCCTGGACCCCTGGCTCGTTCTCACAGCAGGACTGAAGGCTGTACATTCAGAGGAAATGAGAACTCTGACCTGGGGGGTCGTGTGTCATGTGTCATGTGCAGAGCCGCCTCTGCGCCAGGGCTCTCTGCCGTCACCCGGACCCCAGGGGGGCTCTGCTCCTTGCATTCCCGCCACGCTCGCATCTCTACCATTCAACGGGGACACCGGTGCACACGGCTCTTACCAGATCTTTCATAGGATGTGGAGAGTCACTTAGATCAATCAAACAAACAAATCTAGAGAGTAAGATTATGTGTTTTTTCTCCCCTCTTTATTCGTCTCTATGAATTGTGTCATTGTACTGTTTCCATACATTCACAAAATATACTTTGATCAAATTCATCTCCATGAGGAGGAGGAGGAGGAGGAGGAGGAGGAGGAGGAGGAGGAGGATGGTGATGGTGATGATGGTGATGAGATTGCTACCACCAATGATGCTGCCTGTTGTGGGGCTTGAACTCAGGGCCTAGGTGTTGTCCCTTAGCATTTTTACTCAAGAATGGCATTCTACCACTTGAGTCACAGCTCTGTGTCCTGTTTATTTTTGTGTGTGTGTGTGGGGGGGGGTTCATTGGCTATAAGAGTCTCCAGCCCAGGCTGGCTTTGAACTATGATCCTCAGATCTTAGCCTCCTGAATAGCTAAGATTACAGATGTGAACCATGGTGCCCAGCTTCTATTACTCTTTCTCGAGGGGAGAATCTCTTTAAATCACTCCACAGACTCTTAGAGAATCCAGGGACCCTTGCCAGGTCCTGGACCAATACTTTGTTGAGGTATGAGAAAAAACAAAAGTTACCATCTGAATGCTAGAACAAAGCTATCTCTTTTCCTTCCTTCCTTTCCTTCCTTCTTTCCATCATTCCTTCCCTCTCTTCCTTCCTATCCTCTCCCTCCCTTCCTCCTTTTCTCCCTCCCTCCCTCCTTCCATCCTTCCTTCCCATCCTCTTTTCCTTCCTTCTTCCTCCTCCTCCTCTCTCCAGAATTGATCCACTGATACTCTCCGATCTCTCAAAAGCCATGTTTCTAGGCACATTTGTCCTGTAAATAAGCCCTGTTTTACAGGGACAGCGTCTTCTGCAATACGAAGCTCCTTGTCAATGCCTGAGCTCCTGGCAGAACAATGTCTCATCACTTGCAAAATATTAGAAGAGCCAGGTCAGGCTCTTCTCAGAAACCATAGCCGACGCTGTTGTGTTCTCTTTTTTTGTAATTTTCATTGTTGTTATTGAGAACTGATTTTTTTTTAAATCATAAAACATGAGTGATCTGAAGGCGCAGTAACTCCCGGAAGAACGAGCTTGAAGAGGGCTGGTCCGGCACCTGGGGCTGAACGGTGCTGGGTGTTAGGAGCGGAGCTGTGAAGCATGGAGGGGGGGCGCTTCTGTCTGCCTTGTTGGGAAGGCCTTGCTGATGTGTGTGGTGTAAAGGTACTCAGTCTCGAGTCACTTCAAGAAGTCCCTGGGAAAAGGTCTGGACCTGTCCCACGGCAGGTGCAGGTCCCCAGACCAGGGGGTGTTTTCCATGTTGTTCTTGTGCAAATCACTGCCTTTCTTACGTTGCCTTGCAATTTTCTTATGAGGGGCAGAGAAGCCAAATTCTGGAAGACCCGTAGTGGCCTTCCTTGACCATCTCCTTGGGCAGGTTCATAGACGGTTCCATTAAGTATGTTAATATATATCTTCTAGCTGGAAATAGGAAAGTTAAGATACATTAAGAAAAAAAGCCAGTCTCTGTTGTGAATCCACTGCAGACATTTCTCCTGTGTTATAGAAGCAATTCTATAGCAGTAGCTCCTTAAGTAAAAAGAAAAGAAAAAAAACACCACTTATTGAAAAATGGACCAGTCAACGTTAAGAGCCTGCTCTTGTCTTCTTGGATGAAACACTTCTTCTCCACAGGATGAAACTGGAGGCTGGGGTGAGATTGGATTTTCAGATCTGGCTCAAGATGGTCGACTGTGTATTTGCTTTAAGACTCTGGTGGCTGGCCCAGTGGTGGCTGATGGGCCTGGGGGAAAGAGATGATATCTGGGGTCTAATCTAAGCCATCTGTTCTTCCCCAGTTAGTTAAACAACCTGTGTGAAGAGATCCCTTGTGAACGATTAACTGCCAAAGGATGAATGTCTTGCCTCCACATTAGAAATAGTATTTCCTTGGAGAGGCTGCGATTAAGTGGAGGGAAGGTGAAGGAAAAGGAACTAGACTGTAGATAAGGGTGGATTTGGGTTTCCAAATGCACAGACATCTTAAGCCCTTCTGTTCACTGTCTTCATCTGAATTTCTCTTCCTCTGTTTTCATCTCCTGGGAGAAACCACTAACCTTTTACACTGCTTCAGCATCTTCTACTGGCAGGACAGAGAGTGTTGAAATTGCATTTTCTTGGGACTTTTGTGCCGGAGAGAATTAATCATGTTGCTTTGCAAAATAAATAAGTAAACAAATAATCACCTAAATAACAGAGCCAAGCTTAAAAAGAAAAAAAGAACAGAGCCCCCAAAGTTCTCACCGGGCTGTAACTAGTACTTAAAGAAGGTCAAGCATGCTGTTTCCTGAACGCTGAAATCCCAGAGCAAAAAGACAAAGCAGAGCTAGAAGAGAGGCAGCTTTCAAACAAGACTGGCTTGATGAGCTTTGATTTGGGGTGAGCATAAATGCAAAGGATGACCAGTCTGGAGAGGGTTAAGATCCAGGCTAGAACACAGGGTGAGGAAGATGTGCTGGTTACCAGGATTGGCTCCCACAAAGGTTGTGGGGGCATCCTAGGTACTTGACCCGTAAGACAGAGCGCACATATGGCCTGCGACACTGGTCCCCAGAACTCCGATCTGGCTACCGAATAATGCAATGTCTTCTGTAAGGTGGAGGTGAGTGGTGAGATTAACTGGACCGACCTGTCCAGAGGAGGTAGGAGACTGTCTGCTGAGCAAATAAAGATGTGGGGGTGAGATCAGCCAATCAGCAAGTGATCTGTCAGGATACTAGCCAATCAGGAAGAGACCTGTCAGGGTACCAGCCAATCAGGAAGAGACCTGTCAGGGTACCAGAAGGCTGTGGGAGCGTCATCCCTAGCTTGTGTGTGTGTGAGGTGGGAGGTGGGGGGGAGAGGTCAGGTGACCCAGAGAAAAGGAGGCTGATGCTGTAGCTGTTGCTAAGGAAAGAGACTGAAGCCAGAGCACCCCCCCAGGGTCCAGGGTGTGGGGTCCCAGGCTTCTTGAACCTCCTCCATGTGGATAAAGGACATCACACCCTGTCCTAGCAACATCCAAGCGACAAGCCACTCTGTGCTTCCTGGGGTTTTCAGAAATGGGATGATCTAAAGGAATGCGTGATGGTGTTGGGTGCAGGATCCCCCGAGGGAGTGCATGCCATGTGCCGTCCTATTCCAATCCCAGGTGGAGGAGGCCACACATGCTGACACTCTGTGTCCTAGGTGCCGACTGGGCGCCTTTGCCTGGGATCGCACTGACACGACGGTGGTAGAAAGCAAGTGTCCATATGTTCATTTTCTAAGAGAATAAAGCTGGGACTCGGAAAAGATCACTCGATCAACAACACCACGAGGAGTTGAACTCAGATCTGTTCCAGACTCCAAAGCCTGGGTTGTTTGGAGTATCCCAGAATCCACCTAGAACACACACAGCCAGAAACAGTGCTGGGCTAGGATCATTTACCCAGAGACCCCGAAAGAGAAAGAGAGAGAGAGAAAGACAACAAAGATTACGGAATTAAAATAGCGCTTTTAATAGAATTTTCAGCGAGTGTACAGTATGTACTTTATATCATATATTTCTAAACTGCTCATCTGGAAAATAAGAAGCTGCCAAAATACAGAATACCACACTCAGAGTCTCCTGAGTCTGTATTCCTTCTCCTCTAGTCTGTGAAACGGGGATTGTTCTTTTATCTTTTTACCCCTCCTAGTTAAATTCAGCCTCGGCTGGTTTCTTTGGAACCGCTGGAGCCCTCGGTGAGGGAAAGCAACGTCAAGAAGAGGTTTCAGAAAGCATCATCAGTGAGCCATCCCCCACCCAAGCCAGAGGATGGAGAGAGAGGGAGACGGGCACACCAGGCCAGCGTTGATTCTTTAGCAACCAAGGGAGGAGGAATGCCCCCTCTCTGGGGCCACTGGTGGCCACAGATCACCTCCTTGGTCCTTGTCACAGGCCTGTGCTTTGGGGCCTCAAAGGAGCGTACAGTCCAACAATCCCACGGGACCCCTTAATTCTGGGGCAGGCCAGGGCACGCTAAGTCAGGCCCGCTCAGTCTGTGGGTGGCTGGCGGGCTGTTCTCTGCCGGAAGTGGAGCCCCTCAGCTTTTCCCAAAGGAGGCTTCTGAAGGTGACTGGGACTCAGGGCACGTTTTCTCAGCCTCAATGTCTTGGTACTCTGTGCCTAAAGGGGGGAGGAAGGGAAGAAGAAGAGCCAAGAGGAAAACGAGATCGGTCTTTTCTTGCGTGTCCCACTTTCTGGTTACGTTTTCTAGCCTATCGTGGCGTTCCAGTGAACCGGTTAAGTCAGAGCTTGGTGTTCAAACACCCGGGTGCTGGCGTGTACTCCGTGTTGCCCCAAGGGACCACATGGCAAGCCCCAGGATCTTTACCCGTGACAGACATTTCTGAAGAGTTTGTTAACCTATGTGTCTGTACCGCCACCCAAGTACAGATTCCTTTGTGGCCATGAACTTAGCTTTGTGTCACGTAAGTCATCAATAACAAACCATGTCCTAGGATCCGTAAGGGTCACTTTGCAGTCTAGTAAAGAGTAGTCAGAGCCAGGCACTGGGGGCTCACGCCTGTCATCCCTAGCTACTCAGGAGGCTGAGATCTGAGGTTGTGGTTTGAAGCTAGCTAGGGCACAAAAAGGTCCATGAGACTCTCTTTTCTCCAATAAGCTACTCAGAAAAAGCTGAAAGTGGAGCAGTGGCTCAAGTGGTAGAGTACTGGCCTTGAGAAAAGGAATCTCAGGGACGGCATCTTGGTACTGAGTTCAAGCCCCAGGACTGGCACACACATATGCACGCATGCGTGCGCACGTGCGCACACACACACATACACACACACACACACTGTGACTGACACCACAATATCACACTTTCTCTTCCAGCATTCTGGACCAGTGTAGTTCTCATTCAGCTATGTGGTCACTGTACACTGTCGGAAGCTATCTGCAAAACGCAGTTTTAAAACCTATCTCACACTTCTAGAAAAAGGATGTTGTGGCTCCATTTAAAAAGTATTAAGGCTGGGAAGGTGGCTCAGTGGTAGAGCGCTTGTCTTGCATGCATGGGACCCTGGGTTTGATTCCTCAGTACCACCTAAGCAGAAAAAGCCGGAAGGGGTGCTGTGGCTCAAGTGGTAGAGCGCTAGCCTTGAGCTGAAGAGCTGAGGGACAGCGCCCAGGCCCAGAGTTCAAGCCCCACAACTGACTGACAATAAACAAACGGTATTAAATATCCAACTTGTCCCTGTGGAGATCCATGAACCATGGAGGTTCTGCTGGCTGTGCCCTTAGCTTTCATCGCAACTTCTGTACACGTATCTGTCCACTCTAAGCTGGAGATATGCAGAGTGAGAGTGTGGAAATGTTTCTTTGAAGCTAAGACTTGGCACCCGCAGGAGGAAACCGCGGGTTCCTCCTCCGCTTTGGCGAGGCCCCGTCTCTTAAGAGTCTTGGGGAAGACTCTGCTGGGAGATTGGAAGCGAGGAGAGGGAAATATGGAACAGAAGTGAAACGGCTTCTTGTTTAGAAGAACAAGTGAGATCGAGATGATGGCTAGCCAGGAAGCTTCTGGTATGGCTAACGGTGAAGATGGAGTTTTAAGGATCTCTACTGTTCAATGATTATTAATTATAACTAAATAAAAGGAACAGTCCCAAAATGGCCAGAACCTTCCACCTGCAGGATGTCAAAGCTCCTGGACAATTTGCTACACGTTTCCCTTTGATCAAAGCAGATCATCATCATCATCATCATTTGCACCTTGTGTCGGGGGAAAAAATCCAACACTGATGATCAGCATCAACAGCTGATGGTTGATTTGAGTCATTACTGACAGACATCTTTAAGTCTGGAATTGGGAAGAGAGTAAGTCTGGAACTGAGACGAAGACACAGACAACGAGTGTTGGAAAAACCTCAGTGTGAAAAGATTGCTGATCCCCAGCTGAGCTCCGAATGCACCACGCATGAGGGTCCATCCTCCCGCCCGGGGTACTGTGGACCGGCCAGGGGAGACCCTTCCGGTCCCTGGATGCTTAGAGAGCATGTTCAGAACGCATTGCCTCTCACCTGCCCATTCCAAGAGCAACACAGGAAGGACAGACGTCCCCCGGCTGCAGCTGCTGTCCTGCTCTGTTGGGTTTATGTGAGGTCCCTGGATGCCATCTGGGCAGAGACTTCCTGAGAGTCCTTCAAGGGGGGCCTGGCCCTTCTCATGCTCCCTGGTGGGAAGGTACATTCAGTAGGTGGTCACAGACCTGAGCTTCACTCACTGGGAGTTTTACTCCCAGCTCTGCCAGTTGTGTACGCCTTCCAAGACTGCTTTCCCCCCTCCCCTTCTATAAACTAATACACGAGATAAGCTCTGTTCAGCGGTAGCTCCGAATAAGTACTTGACAAATGTTAGCTACAAGGGTCGGTGGCTCACACCTGTCATCCTAGCTACTCAGGAGGCTGAGATCTAGGGATTGCAGGCAAAGCCAGCCTGGGCAGGAAAGTCTGTGAGACTCTTATCTCCAACAAAGGAAAACGGTGGTGTTGTGGCTCAAGTGGTAGAGGGTTAGACTTGAACAAAAAGAAGTTCATGGACAGTGCCCAGGTTCTGAGTTCAAGCCCTAGGACTGGCCAAAAAAAAAAAAAGAAAAGGCAACTATTAGCTTTTATTATTAGTGTTTATGACTCATTCTGCCTGGCAGATTGGTTAGCTTTAGATGGCCAGTGTTTTACTTAGATGAGGAGGAAGGAAGATGAAATGTTCTCTTTAGCATCTGGAGTCACTCTTCTTTTCCTAGGTCCTGCATTTCTCCCCTAAGTATCCATTTTGATCGGGCAAAGAAAGAATGGATGATCATGTTAGATGAATGGCCAAGTGTGAGAGATAGAAAGGATGCACTCTATAGTTCACATTCTCTCCAGCACACAACAGAAATACGGTTCCTTTCGATCATAAAAACCTAAGGAAAAAGGTACTTACCTCCTTCGAAATGAACGAGACATTGGAAATTAATGAGATCTCTGAACTAGACTCTCCTGGGCAAAATCACTAGCATAGACACCAACTCTCAGACCTTGTGGGAAAATGGCTCAGCCAATGGCAGAATTTGGGTTGACTCCATGCTGGGATGGGAATGTCCCCAAACGCTACAGGCCTGTTCTTGGGAGGCCGGCATGCCACGGTCCCCTTCCATGCACTGAGGGTGGCCTTATATCAAGTTTTATTGGCAGTCGGCTCACTTGTTTGCTTAGTTAGCACCGAGGGCTGATTTCTAGGTTACAATCGCAAGGTTCAGTGGTTTGGATGGAGATGAATGGCCTATAAGGCCTGAAGCATTTATTGGCTGAGCAACATCCCAGATCCCCGCTGTTCTCCAGCTCTCTTGCTAGGTCACTTTCTCTGAAGCCTTCCTGGTCCACAGCCCTGTACTGAACTGAACCATCTGAACCATCACCGTGCAACAGGCCTTGTAAGCTAGACCCATCCCAGATCCTTGTTAACTGGTTTGACTGGTGTGCGGGTCTGTCCAGCTTGTTGAACTCTGAGCTCTTGGAGCCCAGGGGCCATGTTGGGTGTCTTTTGCCTTTGTACCCAGTTGAGCAATGAATCAGGACACACAATACCTTCTCGAAGGAAGTCAGCCCTGTCCTGCTGGTGTCTGAGGCGTGGGAGCTCTTGTCTGTGGCTGAGGCATCACAGATTCTTGAGGGACAAGATCATCTTTGTCTCTCTGAATTTTCTGATGTCGCCAGTGTGGTGATCGAGCAACTCTGGGTGGCTGAGGGGCCTTACAAAGTCTAAGGAGGGGTGTGTGTGTGTGTCAGTGTGGGTCAGTGCAAGAGACCTGCCAGTGAGTCTTCTGATTGGCTCCTGGGCAGCCCATGGGCTGTCTTTCAGGGCCAGGTGCTCCTAGGAAACCAGGTCATTGAGCAGGGAGGTGGGTGGAGCTTCGTGTCATGGAGCCCGGGTAGGGTGTGGTGAATGAGGAATGCAGGATAGAAGGGGGGAGGAAGGGGAGGGGAGGAAGCTGCATTTGGATTCCAAATAATTTCTAGAGCCATCTTAGTTTTGCCTCTTTGGGGAAACTCGGTGCCTCCTGGGTGTGTGACTGGGACTCTAACCTAAAGCTGAAAGAGAAATAGATCATGGTTGAGAAATAATCAAGTATGCCTGAGTTCTGGCCAGATAGCTGGCTCTCCCAAGCCATTTAAACCATCGGGTAAGAACAGCAAAAGGTAGCAAGTACTCTTTGTATTTTGGACTAAGAGACCGCACGCCTCGGTTTCTCTGTTCATCTAAACCAACCCAACCACCATGAGCCACAGAACACAGTCTGACTCCAACCAATAGAAACACAGAGTTTCCTTTTGCCTTGGTCTTCTGCCATGTTCATTTCTACACTGGATGTGTATTGCTTCATATTGCTGAGTAGTGTTTTTAGAACGACATGGAGCTTAGGAGAAAAAAAATAGCACAGGAGTTGGCAGGTCTGGCTAGAAGTACACTTCTGCCTGCTCCGGAGACATTAAGTAATTCTGCCAAACAATTCCTTAGAGGCCCTGGGCTTCTCAAGTATGTTTCTGGTTAAGTGCTAATAACTGATTCGTAGGGGGGGGGGCTGGTGAGCCTGAAGGGATCCACCCTCCTTTCTGAGGTGTGTCCACAGGGAATGTGGGCGTCTGAGGACCTTCCTAGTTAGGAGGAGGACAATAAGGAGACAGGTCTTCCGCTTAAGCTGAAGGAAGAAAACATTGATTTCATATGGAAGTAAAATTGGTTTAAAAAAAAAACCCAAACAACATCCAAACCCCTCTTGGTCTGTATATAGGAACAAGACCTTTACACCTCTTGTTGGGCATGTCCAACTTGGAAGGGGAACTCCATTTTCTAGGTTTACCCCTGGCCCTTCCTGCTTTGCTTTGTGTAAGTCCAAGGCTGAGCTTACACCTTTTTACTCAAGAAACAAACCAAACCCTACTCCAAAGCACACCGAGAGCCCAGGGGTTAGATCTAGCGCTGGATGTACAATGTTCTTTGTAGCCCAAAGGCAAAAGGAGAACTAGACTGAATTCACTGTTCCGTAATACCTAAGAGAAATTAAAAACCTCCAAGAGGTTGTAGGGCGTCTGGAGCCATACTGCCCCAGGGGGACTTTAACTGGGCAGTCCGTCCATCAGCTCCCAGCGAGCCTGTATCCTGGATTTGGTTTTCCTTTCTCCACCTTCTAACATCTTTTCTTTTTTTTTTTTTCATTCAGCCTAAAAAAGAAGGGGGGGGGAATCCAAGATACAAAGAGTTTAAAAATTCTGTTGTCCTTCTTTCTCTTTTTCTTCAGAGCAAATAGTCCCATGAAACAAACACTAGGGTAGCTAGGGCTTTTGATACGTCGTTTACCGATTCTGCAGAACATTCTAGAAGAACACAGTGACCTACGGAACAGTGCATCGACAAAAACAAAAGGAAAACAAAACCTGTACGGGAAGGGGGTCCACACCTGCAGAGCATCGGAGCATCGGAACCTGATGATGTGGCTGGTGCGCCGCGTTTGCCCTGGACTAGCTATGGGGACCGCACCCTCTTTCGGTTGGCCTTTCTCGATGCTTTCTTTAGTACTGTCCCCCAGAAATGCGGTTACCCCTCCACGCGAAACCACATCTAAACGCAGCTCCTTTTCCCCAGAATGTGCACGGAAAGGCCTAAAAGGGCTGCGTGGCCGAGATCACACAATCATGGCCGGGGGACCAGAGGCCGACTTGCAATTCATCGTTCTGGCCCATCTTGTCTCTTCTCTTAAAGGCAGGCTGCATAGAAACTCTTTTTATTTCCTTTTGGGAAGCATTTTTCTCCCCCCTCTTCTCCTGGTCACACATGATCTACACTTGTTTTGCGGAGTATTCAAATGAGGATAATAATGTGAAAAATGGCAATCGATGAATTGCATCCCTGGAATCACATGATCATTTTTTTGGTGGTTTTTTTGTTGTTGTTGTTGCTGTTTTGTCTTAAAGGAGGAACGTAAAAGCAACCAGCATAAGGAATCCTGCAGGGTGTGGAGCTGGTGGTGGAAGGGTTAACAGAGACAGCAGTAGTTAAAAATAGGATTAGAAGATTATTCACACAACAGTTTGCAATTCGTACGCATTGGATTGGTTTTCTCCCTCTCTCTCTTTTTCTTTTTTTGGAAAAAATGGAAAAATGTTTGGCAAATGTAAGCAAATGAGTTGGGCTATGTTGGGGCTCACCGGCTCTGAGGGGGTCAGTCATAGCCAGGTGAGACCAGCCGCTTCCTGAGTCACGCTGGGGGAGGTTGGAAGGGGAGGTGGCGCCCAGCGGAAGTGCTGGCCTCCACCCTCCAGCCTCCCTGGGGGTGGGGGTGGGGGAGCAGCCCTCCACCTTGAACATGAACATGGAGCTGGTAAGAGAGGCCGACCACAAGACCCACGGTTGGCATGGCCGAGAGAACTCTGGGTCCTTGAATGCCCCAGGCAGACTGGGCAGGGAGGAACCCCACTACCCAGCGCCCCATATTGCAAGAGTAAGGAGGAGCGGAGCCTTGACACCTCTGGTTCTACAAACCCCGCTGCCCTGTGGAGGGAGAGGCCGGCGGGAAGGTGTGCCACAGGAGTTCCCGCCGGCCACGCTCTCAGTTTGAACGTGTGTGTGTGTGTGTGTGTGTCCACAAGTTCCAGACAGAACATCACTGTTCCCTGATTTTGGCAGTGTGAGTGGCCCGCAGTTGTCCCCATCCTGACCATTTGGGGGGGGCAGACTTGGGGACTCAGCGGGGGTGAGGATCCACTGTGATCATCCCTTTCTCTTGCTTTTTTTTTTTTTCCTGAACCCTGTCTAATCTTGAGAAGGACTAGGCTGGTTGTGTGTGTGTGTGTGTGTTTGTGTGTGTGTGTGTGCCGTGTGACTTCGTCTCTGTGTGTATTGAATTTATTTTTTTTTGTACACTTTTTTTTTCTCTTTTTTTAAGAAAAAAAAGGACCCTTGGATTTCCTAGTACAGCGCTCACCCCTCCCGGAGTCACTATAAAACAGATTCCATGTTCTCGCACCATTCATGGTCTTCCAGGTTGTAGATAAACTTTGTCCTATGTGCCGGGTGCACCGGCCCAGCGTCCCTCCCCAGGTTGTCTAGGGTCAGGGTAGAGGCAAAGAACTCACTGGTGCTCAGCCCGCCCTCGTGGTTGAGGATGTAGCGTTTATAGTTTCTCCTCAGGCACTGCCAGGAGGTGGTGTAGAGGATGAAGGCGAAGGACTTGAGCGCGATGGCGATGCTCACGTACAGGTATCTGTAGACCACGTTGTCGTAGAGGACGCAGGCCCCTTGCTCCCCACAGAACGTGCTCCAGAAAAGGCAGGTAGAGTCGATGCCAGCCCCGAAGATCAGCGGTGGGGGGATGAAGCCTGCAAAAGGGAAAAGAAGATTCTGGGTTCTGGCTCAGGCGGCGGGTGGCGGGCCGAGCTGTGATAGAGGACCCCCAGGGGGAGTGTGTAGAGCCAGCCCCCGGCGGCTCTGTAGCTCTGGGGTTCAAACACACACCAAGAGTTTGAATCCCTGCTCTGCCCCTTACTACCCAGACTAGTTGTTATCTGTGCCTGGCTTATGCCAATTCATCTTTATGGAGATCACATCCGGGGTAAGCATGTGTGCCCCATGCCTGGCACACAGAAAACACCAGAGAGGGGGCAGCTGGCATCTCGGACCACAGAGTCTGCGAAGGAAAGTCCTTCCCGTAGGATCAGCTTCTCTCAGGTGTGGGACAAGAGACTGCTTCTTCCATAGGCTTCCAGGCTACGTATGGAGGAACTAGGAACCAGAAGTTGAATGTGAATACGTTCCATCACCGTGTATATAGTATATGAATATATACATATGCAGGTTAGTGGTTGAATGGCATCTCATTTACATTTACCTATATAATCTGCATGATATGCAAATGTATGCAAATGACACAACCACACACAACAATATGAATATGCACACGAGTCATATGTAAATGTCCATGCATTTGCATGATATGCAAATGTAAACTAGAAATGCTATAGAATATATAAATTATACAAACATAAATGACATATAAATTATATAAATACAAATGCTATGTATAAATCATATAAATATAGAAGATATGTAATATAAATTATATAAACATAAATGCTATAGAAATGATATAAATGTATATGATATATATCACTTATATACATGTAAATGACATGTATGTTTGCATAACTTACGTAGCACATATACTATGTAAGTTGAGTACACACACGACCTTTGTGCATTATGGTAAGGGGTCACATGGCCTGAGTTCAAGCCTTGGTTCTGTGTCTAGCTGGTTTAGTGTACACACAGGCAAGTGCTCCTGATCTTAATTTCTATCCTTTACCTTCTCCTTGAACAAGTAGCTGTGATAACATGCCCGTATCATAACGTTAAATAGCAGGCAGGATGTATTTGCTTATCATTAGGATGGTAACACCGAGGCTTGGCTGGGTGAGAAGGATTTTAATACAGTGTAAGTACTCTCACTTAAAAGAAGTGCGGGACAGGCGCGCGCCTACTGCCCACTTCCCCTTGAAAAGGGCACTGGTGAGAATATGTTCCATGTCGAGCTGGGAACCACTTTTTAAAGCCTTGGTGGTAGCCGGGTGCTGGTGGCTCAGCCTGTCAGAGCCTGAGACCTGACGATGGTGGTTGGAAGCTAGCCCAGGCAGGCAGATCCCAGACAATCTCATCTGCAACTAATCAACAAAAATCTGGAACTGAAGGTGGCTTGAGCACCAGTGTGAATTGTGAACAACAGCAGCAAAAACAAACGAAAAACCCAGCAAGGAGCTCAAGACCCTGAGTTCACGTTCCAGGACTGGAAGAAAGACAACAGCAAAATTCCCAGATGATTTTGGATGGTGTGGGGGAGAAAGGGAGGAACCACGAATACAGATATGTTCCAGAAAACAAGAAACCAAAACCTAGCACCCAAGGGGACCAGAGCATGGGGCCAGCCGCCCTCAGTGCAGAGAGCCTGGATGGGGGGGGGCATTGTAGGAACCAAATGGGATGACCTTGAACGACCTTGGATGCCAGGCTGGTACTCTGGGTGTGGCATGCTCTCTCCACGGTCCGAGCTTTGCTTTATTTATTCCTGTGCAGGTCTTGGGGCTTGAGCTTGGGGCCTGGGTGCTATCTCTGAGCTTTTTTTTTTTTTCTTTTTTCAATTTTGGTGCTCTACCACTTGAGCCACAGCTCCGCTTCCAGTTTTCTGGTGGTTCATTGGAGTTAAGAGTCTCATGGACTTTCCTGCCTGGGCTGGCTTTGAACCACAAGCCTCAGATCTTAGCCTGAGTAGCTAGGATGACAGGTGTGAGCCACAGGCGCTTGGCTCTAAGAACATGAAGGATATAGTGAGCGTGTGGATGAGATGCACCCTCAGCCCACAAGGATACATCTATCCACAAAACCACCCATGTTTGGGGGACCACAGACCTCTGAAATCCACTCATGGTGACCAGAAGAGGCAGAGTAAGACATTAGAGGTACACCACACTCTCTCTTGGCAGTCAGGAAGGGAAGGGGGAGGAGAAGGAGAAGGGGGAGGGGGAGAGAAAGGGAGGCCGCACTTCCTCGTCTCCTGATGCCTAGAACAGGCTCTGGGCTCTGTTCTCATCCCAGTGCTCATGAGCTTGATAGAGCTCCAAGCATTTAGAACTTTCTGGTTCTGCCCCCCTCCCCTGCCTCCCCCTAGATTCCTCCCAGTGCACAACCTAATCACTCAACGTCCCAAGCACTGTGACTTAAGAAACTCTAAGCGCAACGTCACTGCGCCTCTTTTCTGTGTGGGCCAGGGGACTTGCGGAATGGAACCTTCCAGGCTGCCCAGATGCTTGGGCACCTCACCCCTCCCTCCCACATCCACCACAGCCACAGCCACCGAGCTACCTTCCTGGCATCCAGTGATCGGCAGATAGAAAGGCCAGGACAGAGAGGACACACACCATATGGGAATCAAGTTCTGCCGCTCTGCCGCGGGAGGAACAGAGAGGTGTGCTATGTATGCCCTGAGTTTGGTGAATCGTGTTGTATTTTAAGCACAGAGGGCCTTTGGGATGTAGGAGAGCCACTTGTTCAAGCCAAGATAGCCCCTCTAAAGTACCCATGTATAGCTCTTTCACATAGCTGTGCCTGAGGGTTTTTATAGTCTGTGTTGTTGACAGCAGGGCATGCTTCTGTGTGAGAGAGCCCCGCTTCATTTAGTCTCTTGTCAAGTTCTACTCTCCAAAGCTTGTGAGGAGCTAGAAAAAGCCTTCAAGTGGCTAGAAATTAGGAAGCAAAGTGTCTTAGGCTGTTGTCAGATTTTGTTTTTAGTATTTGTGGTGGAGATGAGCTTGTAACGTTAATGAGTTCAAAACTGTAGGGAAAATTCCTTGGTCGTTCAATCCCTCAGTTTCTTCTTCTTTCAAAGACTAGAGCCAGGCACTGGTAGCTCACACCTGTAATCCTAGCTACTCAGGGGGTTGACATCTGAGGACTGTGGTTCAAAGCCAGCCTGGGTAGAAAAGTCTGAGACTCTTTTATTTTTTTTGCGGGGGGGGGGGGTCCGGTCCTGGGGCCTGAACTCTGGGCCTGGTCGCTGTCCCTCAGCTCTTCAGCTCAAGGCTAGCACTCTACCACTTGAGCCATAGCGCCACTTCCGGCTTTTTTCTTTTTGCTTATGTGGTGCTGAGGAATTGAACCCAGGGCCTAGTGCATGCAAGGCAAGCACTCTACCACTGAGCTACCTTCCCAACCCATAAGTCAGAGACTCTTATCTCCAGTAAACTACAAAAAAAACAAACAAAAAATCCACACCCAAACAAAAAAAACAACAAACCTCCCAAACAGCCAGAGGTGGAACTGTGCTTCAAGTGGTAGAGTGCTAGCCTTGAGTAAAAGAAGCTCAGGGATGGTGCTCAGGCCCTGAGTTCAAGCCCCAGTACTGGCACATACACACAGACACACACACTGAAGCTAGAGCACCTATTTGGTCAAGGGGCATTAAATACTACAAATGAGGTATCTGTATTTATCCTGAAGAGACTGTCACAATGTTCATGTTCTATCACTGTGTGCTCAGGGTTAGGTTGAATACCTTAACTATAGAACCTTTGTTGAGATTGCTGATTAAGGGGAAGTATTGACTTTCTTTTCTGCCACACCCATCTTTTCCTCTTCATCAACTTACAATTGTTTCCTCCAGGGGGAAATGGCGTTAGCTACCAGACTTTACCTTCTAGGTGTGGAAAGGATATGAAAGATGACAATCTCACCAGATTGTCATGACGACAGTGAGGAAGTCTGCCTCTCTCAGACTCATCCAGTCAGTACGTGTCTCATTCATTTATCACTCACCACCAACAAAAGCCCAAGTCATCACCATCTAGAAACTGGTCCCCCAGACCAACGGGAAATTTCTAGACAATGATAGTTTGCCTAGTTCATTGATGGCCCCTCACCCCCACAGGGTCATGACCCTACATCTATTATAAATCCTTTTCATGACACCGTAACTGTCTTTATTTACATATATAGAAATGGAGCGGCTGCTTTTGGTCCTAAAGTTTGAGAGTTCAGAAACTCAAAGCCAACAGTTCCCTTACCTTCTAATTCAATGTAATAATTTTTTTCCCCACCAAACTCTTATCAGGGATTTCCAGGGTGACAGAGGTGGTTTTTTTTTATAATTTTATTAACCTTTCTGTTAAGCTTGTACAAGCTTGGGTTCGGAGCATGAACACACAGACACACACACACAGAGGGAGTTCTCATTTCTACAAAAGATAGAGCCCTCCCTTCTACATGGTGCTTATTGCTCAGAGAAGGCTGGGAACCTTATAGATTGAAGTAAGTGTGTGTATGTGTGTGTGTGTGTGTGTGTACAAGTTCTCTCGGCATCTAGCAGAATGCCCTGAGCGGTATTGGCAGATACTTGTCAGCATGGAGAGACACTGAGTTCTCAGTTGTCCTTGTCACCTTACTGACAGCTAGGGAGCTCAGATCTCTCCCGATGCATCAGCTGAAGGAAGACACTAGCGACGGCGGAGTTGCATTCTGGGCTCCAACTTTGCCACTTTGAGAAAGGAGGGAAAATTCATAATTTTACAGAACCTCAGTCTCATGGGTTACCAATAATCACCAAAAATAATCATGGAGCAGCAAAGTCCCCCTTACTTGAGGAAGAAGGACCAAATACCAAGAGCAAGTAGGTAGGAGGAGGAAATAAGGCCAGAGCCATGCTGGCTTGTGATGCTCCCCCAGGGGAAATTCAAACAAGAAACCAGGAAGGAACAGCCAATCCGCACAGCCCATGGAAAGGCAAATAGCCAATCAGCACAATCCCCAGTAACTCCTAAGGACCCTAACCCTCTACCAGGGCTGCCTTTCTCAGTTGCCCGCTGCTTCATCTAGCAGCTTGCTAAGATGCCTTTGCTTTTCCTCCTCGACCCACCGCTCTGAAACCCGTGGCAGTGGTCATAAGGATGCTTTCTTGTGGTCTTGCTGTTTCTGTTGGGATTAAACGACATGCCCTTGGAGGGGTGCCACCAACGCATCTGGGTTTTCTTCCTAAATCCCTCTGGCTAAATGAAAACGTGTCCTTTCTGGAAATCCCTGCCTCTCTACGTGGCCCAAGTCTGCACAGAGGCCATATCCTAAAAGCAAGTCATTTTGGGGGATCATTGGGCCCTGCAGAAGCAAAGCCACATGGGTAGGGTGTGTCCTCCTTCTTTTAGGCTCTTCGGTACCTAAGGAGGGATGGGGTCGTATTTCCTTAGAACCTGGCTGTCTGAATGTTCTTCCTGACTTCGGCAAGCATCGTCAGTTCATCCCTGGGTGTCTCCCTGGCTGAGCGTAGGGGTGAAGCTAGCGATAATGGAGCCCCCTGTATTGGTTGAGTCTAGGTGTAGGCTCAGTGCTCTGTGCCACTCTGGGGAATATTAAAAGGATTCTCTTACTGCACCACTGTTTAAGACAATTGTTGCTGTTTTTCCTGAAATCTATTAACAGAGATGAAAACCTCAGGGCCTGGTATGTGTATAATCTTGGCTATTTCATTCACAAGCATGGTTGGGGAAAAAAAAAAAGCAGAGTCTATTTCTATTCTTTGGTCTAAATTTAAAAAGTGAATGGAAAGCCTTTATTTAAAAAAGAAAAGTCAACCCACATTCCTTTATGAGACCAAATAGGAGCTGAACATATCTTTTCCATTTCCATTTAAAAAGATGACCTCAGTTACCTGCTAAGACTTGCATTTAGCCAGGTGGAGGACAGGGAGGATTCCAGCGGCCTCAGTTCCAGGGAAGCATGGTGAGCAGGGGTATTCTCCTGCTGGGAGCCCCAAATGAGTCTCTGCTTCAGCAAGGCCAGGAAAGAGTCTGGGCCACGGAGGTGTCTCCCACGGACGGAAAGTCTAACGAGTTCTCCTGTAGCTCCTCCTTTCTCATTCTACTCCTGAGCCCCTTATTAAAGTGAGACAGGCCTCAGAGCTAAAATAACCAGCGAAAGATGACCCTACTACATGGTAATGGCGCAGATGTGCGGCACTCCCAAGGAGTGACGTCCCGTGTGTGTGTGTGTGTGTGTGTGTGTGTGCGTGCGCGTGTGTGTGCATATGTGTGTGCTGGTCCCCTGAGCTTTCCTGCTCAAGGCTAGCTCTCTACCACTTGAGCCACAGCTCCACTTCTGGCTTATTTTTTTTTCCTTTTTCTTTTTGGTGGTTCATTGGAGATAAGAGTCTCACGGACTTTCCTGCCCGGGCTGGCATGGAACTGTGATCCTCAGATCTCAGCCTCCTGAGCAGCTAGGATGACAGGCGTGAGCCACCGGGTGCCTGTGTGGAGGCTTGCTGGGGGCCCCAAACAAGCCATAGCTTCTGCTCCCCTCCCCTCCACCCCTGCAGGCCTTTCTCCTTGTAAGTCCCTCCTCCTGTCTGGCTCATAGCTCTTCCTCATTCTCTAGGTCTTAGGTCAGACATTGTTATACTCGGTCCAAGCTGGCTGCCTGTGTGCCCCCCCCCCCCACCTCGGCTCCTATCCAGTAAGCAGATTCCGTGACAGTCTCGTCATTCCCCATTGGCCACGCAGGGAGCAGCATGGAGAGCGTGGGATCTGATTTATCCCTGGCCCTTCATTAGTGGGAAGGCCGTTCATCTCCTTGGGTGCTGTATGAAGCAGAATGAGGCCAGGTGCCAAGACTGCCCGGCTGGGCAGCTTTTCATGGAAAGGTGAAGCGGTGTCGTCCCCCTCTGGAGGAGGGTTCTTCCAAATGGATGGATCTGTGACCCGTAAGGGGTCATGAAATCCACTGAGGGGGGTCACGGCTGCTGTGGAACCCCGTGGCCTAGACCGGCAGCTCGAAGGGCGCGCCCTGCCTATCAGAGGTCTTCCCTCACGCGAGGCTTTGCTTCCGTTACCGCGTGCGTGTATATACAGATGTGTCCCGGGCCACAGTGCACAGCTCACCTCTCCATCTGCGTTATAGACCCAGAAGGGGAGAGACACTGCTCCAGCAAATGCCTGTTGGATTTTCCTGGAGCCGACAGGACGATCCAATGCGGCCTTGGGACACATCCCTCTGAATCTTCACTGAGTTCAGAGATAGCTTGCATTTTTTTTTCATTGCATGCTATTAAAAATGGCACTGTTTGAATTCAGGCCCTTTAGGCAGGTGCTCTAGTGTCTGAGACATGCCCCTAGCCACCCCCACACCCCTTTTTTTCCCCTTTAGTTTTCATATAGGTCCCAGGACTGGCCTTGGATGGTGATTCTACATTTATGTAACTAGAATCACAGGTGTGCCCTACCATGCCCAGTTTGTTTGTTGAGATGGGGGGTGGCGGGTGGGGTGGTCTGAGTTTAAACTCCAATACTGTTACAAGGCAACCAGGATGACAGCTCCCCTAGTATTCAAAATTAGAACAAAGGTCATCTCAACCTAGGCCTTTTCAATGCAAGTTCAGAAAGCAGCACTGTGGCCTAATAAGGGGGGGGCGGGGGGCACATGTGACTCGCGGAGCCCCACGCCCGGATGGCCTGTCTGCCCCCGGCTGCAAACGCATGGTAAATGCATGAAATCGCGTTGGAATAAGCCACAGGACGCCACAGTGGTGTTCTGAGAGCTAGCCTGCCGCACGCAGCAGCGTGAGTAAAGCGTGGTGCGCTTCCTGAGGGCCGAGTTACAGCGCTGGCGCGTTCTCCCTTTGGTACCAAAAGGAGGGATGCAAATTCAGGTTGGCCCAAAGACAAGAGGTAGAGCACTAGCGAATGTTGTGGAAGTCAAGGAATGCCACAGTGTAAACTGAGAACAAATCTGCAGACTTACGGTTTCCCTCGCTTACCAATATTAACCATCAGAGAGACAGAGAGGGAGGGAGGGAGAGGGAGGGAGGGAGGGAGGGAGGGAGGGAATACTCTCCAAGCCTAGTACTCACCTCATACAATGTCTCCAAGTCATTATGGAAGGAATAAAGACACAATACATACAAGATGTATAATACGTACCCACAATACGTACAATGCATACAATACGTACCCAACAAACGGAGGAGGAGAAACAGAACTCCCAGGGCGTAAGACTTGAGCTCGGGGCTGACTGTCCTACGTGAAAGACATGAAGGGGAGGAGGGGGCAGGAGAAGAAAATCGTTATCATTTACACCAACAGCCCCAGAGTCATTTGCCGCTCTACCTCTGAGCTCTCCTTTAGGGAACAACCAATCCTAGCACTTTACTTCCCTGCCTAAATCCTCCAACAGAACAAACACACTGTTAACTGTGATGCCAAGATAAGGTGAGGAACTTAATCATGCTTGGAATAGCCAGAGCTGTCTGACCTTGTCACTCGGTCATGATGTGGACATTTCCAGGTCATGGTTTGGTTGTGGCGAGGCCCTGTCTCAAGGGGGCAGGGCTCTGGTCTGCGCAGACTCTTAAAGTCGTTCCTCGGTGACCCGGAAGGAAAGGCCGGGTTTGCACATCAGGCCCGGGCACACACCTTCTGTTATGCTTAGGCCGTTCTGTGAACTCCATCAGACTTTGCCATGTGTTGATGATGTCCCACTTGGACCTCAGGGGCCGTGGCTCACATCCCAGGGCCTCTGGCTGTGGTACATGCTGCCCCACGGACATAGTTCTTCAACTGGAACCCAGTCAGCTCCCTCGGTCTCGGTTTACCCCGGACAGACCCTCAGGATGAGCCTATCACACATTTTCTAGAACGTTCTCATTGCATTGTTTTGAGGGAAAGCGCGCCAGGAGGGGCGGGATTGGAAAATAACTCAATGCTCAAGGCTAGCGCTCGACCCCTTGAGCCGCAGCTTCCCTTCTGATTTTCTGGTGGTTGGTTGGAGATCAGAGTCTCATAGACTTTCTGGCCTGGGCTGGCTTTGAACAGCAATCCTCAGATCTCAGCCTCCTGAGTAGCTAGGATGACAGGCGTGAGCCACTGGTGCCTGACTACCATCTCTTTTAGTGACTCTTACAGTGTAATGAGTATACCTGGTGCTTGCCTGCTCCCCTGGAGGTGTAAGGATTAATGTAGGTTGCTGGTGGCGGTGACCTGACCCCTAGCTGTGTGTGTGGCTCACAGTATGTTTTGAATGAATGCACAGGCAGGTGGATGGCTGGGCCGAAGCCTCCTGCTGACCCAGGGAGGCCCCACTGACAGTTCGAGCAGGGGTGTTTCTGGTCGGCCTGGGTTGGAATTTTCTAGATTTACTTTCCCAACTTGCGAAGCAGAAAATGGCAGATTTGCGACTGTGCCCTTTAAGAGTTCTGCACAATCACAAGGCCTGGCTCAGGGCCCCTCAGTACTTCTGGTATTTAGTACTTCCTGTACCCTGGTACTTCTGGTATTTAGTACTTCCTGTACACCTGTACTTCCAGTAATGGCTCTGCCATTCCTACCAAACACTGAGCAGGTAGGAAGAGAGGAGCTGACACTGAGCAGCTGGAGATACACAGGGACAGACAAGGACAAGGACAGGGAACGGCAGAATTTGGGGGGGGGGTTGGGCTAGCTCTAATGACCTGTTGCTACCGGATACTGGCCAGCTATGAGCCCTGTGGTGCATTAACCCTCAAACCTTGCTAGAGTTTGTCCCTGGGGGGGGGTCTGACGGGGTCACAGACCTAAGCAGGAGGCAGGCAGGGCCCGTCATGGCACCCCAAGAACAGATTTCAAACCAAATCTGGTCGGGGGTGGGGTGGGCGTGTCTTGGTTGATCCAATGCCGTGTGCATTGACTTCTTGTCCCTCCCGAAAGGAAGATCAAGGCGGAATCCTCTCCAAAGTCACCTCCGGAGGCCTCGGTCTCCTCCCTGCCTGCCCACTGTCTCGTGAGATTCCATCGCGCCTGCCGTGTGGTTCCCGGGGTGTGTGTGTCTGGGGAGGGGTACATGCCCGCTCCTTACCGGATGAGGATGATGACGGAGGGCGTCTGGGCCATGGCGCCGATCATACTGCAGATACACATCACGCACAGGAAGGTGAGGAAGGCCTCCTGGCACCCGGGGCTGGGGCACTTCCCTGGGACCACAGTGGCGTTCTCGGAGGGGACGGTGGTGAGGCACGCACAGCCTGTGAGGTTCTGGAAGGCAAATGGCCTTTTAACATGGAGTGTGTGTGTGTGTGTGTGTGTGTGTGTGTGTGAGTGTGTGTTCGTTCCTCTACTCAGCATCTCACTAAAGCTGTCCTAACCTAATGATGCATCTGATGGCATTCCATTAATCAGGCCTTGAAAAAACAAAACAAAACAAGTTTAAGCCTGCTGCAACCAGCAGAGAGCTGGGTTTCCTGTCTCCTGGGTGTTTCCATTCTCCGGAATCCCTCCAGAAACCTGGGCTCCCCCCCCCCGCCCCGCCCCGCCCAATGAGAGAGGGAGTCGCGCTTCCACAATATGATAAAAACATTGCCAAATGCACATTGTAATTACTTGCCAATTTGTCTTCTCTTTATGCAGTTCTAATTACGCTGAAGTGTATTAAGAGAAGGAAATGAGGGAATCCACATTGGGTTTCTGGGTCCGTGCCAGGCTGCATGCATGCATGGTGTCACAGGTAAAATCCTGGTGTTGGGCGGGGGGGGGGGGGGGGGTGCAGAGGGACAGTGTCCCAGCACGTAGGAGATTTCCAGAGATTTCCAGAGCTTAGAGCAAGCTCACGAGGAGCACAGCGAAAGCCTGGGCTACTCTTATTAATAGATGATCAGAAGAGGAGAGAAAAGCCGCTGGCTTGCATTTGATCTTCTGAGGGGTTCTGGCCCGGCTGTCTCCCCCCCTCCCCCCGCCCCCGTTCCTAAGCGCCAACCTGGCTCACTTGCTGGCTTGCTCTAGAGGGATATTCTGACAGCACAGGCAAGCGGAGAGAGCTGGAAGGGGCGGTGCCCAGTGCCAAGCCAATTACAGTTCAATCATAACAGTGCAGAGACCTTTAACGAATGGAAAGTAAAAGCGACACCGGGAAGGATGTGTGGCTGTCCTTGTGCAGCCTCATCGGGCTGTGGGGGCCTGCCCAGGTAGAGTCTCCAGAGGGTTTTTCTGCTTCTCCTCTTCTCCCTCTCTCCCTCCCTCCCTCCTTTTTCCATAGAACAGGTGAAGGGATCTTGAAGTGGATCAAGGATCTTACTAGAAAGACTGAAACTGTTGAATTTATGACAGGAGAAAGAACAGGGAAAACCCCAGAACAAAATCAGCCCCCCCGGGGACAGCCACTTCCCTAATGGACCTCGGCAAATGGGAGCCAGGATTGACAAGTGGGATCGCGTTAAGCTAAACTGCACAGGTCAAGTGAAGCAAACGGTGTCAACGCCCAAAGGGCAGCCTATAGGATGGGAGGAAATCGCTGCCAGCTATACATTTTGACCAGAGACTAATAACCAAGATATACAGGCGCTCAGAGAGAGAGAGAGAAAGAGAGAGGGAGGCCCTATAAACTCTCAAAGAATCAACAGCCCAACTAAGAAATGGCCAAATGAGCCAAACCCAAACTTTTTGAAAGAAAAGGCACTGAGAAATGCACATGGAATCATCTCACCCAGATCTTCGCCTGCCTTGCAGAGGAGGGGGAATACGCGATAAAATGCTCCCGGGACCGCAGTTCTTGTTAACCACACAGCAGACATGACACGCATCTCCTCATGACAAACCACCATCAGACCCCAAACGTTGGCCCCGGTGGGTCTGAGGAACTCTGGGTGGGCACTGCTGGGCCACTTGAAAAGCTTTAAGAAAGCACAGACGTGCTGGGCGCCGGTGGCTCAGGCCTGTCATCCTAGCTGCTCAGGAGGCTGAGATCTGAGGACTGAGGTTCCCGAGAAGGGGAGTCCTCTTGAGACTTATCGCCGATGAACCACCAGAAAACCGGAAGTGGCGCTGTGGCTCAAAGTGGTGGAGTGCTCACCTTGAGCAGAAGAGCTCTGGGAGAGGCCCAGGCCATGAGTTCAAGCCCCGTGACTGACCAAAACAAAACCCCCAAAACAAAAAGCACAGATGCCTGGGTGTTTCAGCAACGCAAGGATTTCAGAATCTCTGAATGGGGCTCAGCACCCGCCTTGGTTAAAGGCTGCCACAGGACTGTGACATGCAGATGGATGAATGGAGACTTGAACGTGCATCATGAGACCACAAGACTGCTGTCCAGTGCCCAGAACCCACCCAGAGCTTGGCCAAGACAGGGTCGGTTTCTGTCTGTTGCTCAGTACTCCACAGCTGCTCTGCGGGGTGGTGGAGAGACCCCCCCCCCGCCCTTTACCAGTCAATTATTCAAGACATCGGAAGGATAAAGCTCCTTGCAGCTCTCTGCGGAAAGGGAGAGAAACAGAAACAACCCAGACAATAGATAGGAAAGCTGACGGAATTAACTGTCCCGCACCCCTCCTGGCCGTACGCCAGGAGAAGAACCAGAAACTGGATTTTAGGGTGGCCCAGGGTGTCTGCCTCGTGCAGGTGTGGAAGAAGAAAAGCAAAACCTAAACCCTGCGTCAGAGTGCTGGGGATGTGTGTGTGTGTGTGTGTGTGTGTGTGTGTGTGTGTGTGTGTGTGAGAGAGAGAGAGAGAGAGAGAACGTGTAAGTGAGCACTCACCCCATTCTTAAAGCCTGGTGAGAAAGTGGTACAAGTGCACAAGCCATGGGAGTAGAGGGCAGGTGTGAGCAGGTGTGGGAGCAGAGGGCGGGTGTGAGCAGGTGTGGGAGCAGGTGTGCACGGGCGTGGCAAGGTCGGCTGGGAGGACACTGGACCTGTAACCTCACCCCGGAAAAGGTGGTGAGGGAGAAGATGGCTTCTCAGCAGCAGTAAGAAGAGGCCGAGGCCCCCTAGATAAGGAAAAGCAGGTGCAAAGGCCCGGGGGGGGGGCGATGATCCAGAGTGGGGAGAGGGGAGCTTGGGTGTGGCGGGAACTTGAAGCAATTCCAGTTAGCCAGGTGATCTTTAAGAGGCAGAGGAGGGAGGGAGACGAGGCTGGGAGGAAGCCGGGGCCCAGGGGGACACAGGGATGTCCTGATGGGGACAGATGTCTCAGGACCCTGGGCTGGCCTTGCCCCTGGCCTGGGTGCCACCACTTTGTACCAGGCAGTGTGGGAAGGCGCTGCCAGTGCGTTTTATAGTTGTGCTCGTGTGAAAGGCTCTGTCTAGGCCGGCTTCGAACCCTGATCCTCCGACCTCAGCCTCCTGAGCAGCTAGGATTACAGGCGTGAGCCACCGGCGCCTGGCAGAAAAATACACGTTGGGTCTCAAGATGCCGAGTTGTAACAGAGAGGCTGATTTAGGGAACATTAAAAAAAATATTAGGATGTTAACCAAGCGGTTCTGGAAACGAATAGCCTGTGCTTTCATTTTAACCACTCTCAAGACCCCAGCCATTTTTTTTTCTTTAAAGAAATACTTATTTCTACTCCTATAAAGACACGGCTTCATCGCTGAATTTAAAAAGAATCGGTTTCTCTGTGGAATGATTTATTTCCACTACAGAAAAAAAAATGTTAATCGCTGGCCAGGAATACACGACATTAAGGGCAAAGGAGAAGCAGGATCTTTGAACATGAAAACCCGCCACCCGGTTTTCTTCTCTGTCTGGGGACGGCATGGGTGTCCGGGCTTTTCATGGTGACCGTGGCTTTCCTTCAAGAGACCCCAAGACGCAGGCAGAGCCCGGGGCCACGGGTCGGGCATCTTAGATACCATGAAGGGGGTATCTGAGAGACACCCAGAGAGAGGGGGGGCCCCACCACGGCCCAGCCAGGCACTTCACATGGGGTTTTCACACACAGAGTGTTCTGGAGGGCTGACCGACTGGAAAAGTCACACAAGGAAGGAAAAAGCCGAGAGACAGTTGAAAAGTGATGGGAAGATGGAGCAGGGTGAGAGGCATGCAGGACAGGAAGGGAGGGGCCTGTGCCCGGGCTTATGGCCTTCTAATTTTACCCTCCTTCTCCTCCTCCTCTTCCTTCTAGTCCTCCTCCTTTCCTTCCTCCTCTTATTCTTCTTCTCCTTTCCCTTGTACTCTTCCTCTTCTTATCCTCCTCCTCTTCCTTCTAGTCCTCCTCCTCTCCTTCCTCCTTTTCTTATCCTCCTCTTCTCCTTCCTCCTCCTCTTCTAGTTCTCCTCCTCCTTTCCTTCCTCTTCCTCCTCCTCCTCCTCCCCTTCCTCCTCCTCTTCTCTTCAATGCTGGATGTAGAGTCTAGGCCCCCCCCACCCCTTTTGCTTTGATTTTGTTCTTGAGACAAGATGCCAAATCCCTGACATTGCCTGGTCTAGCCTTGAACTTGAGATCCTCCCACCTTGGCTTCCTGAGTGGCTGTGATTACAGGCGTGCGCTATGGTGTTGGGTTGCTGTCGTCCAGCCTTTCCCCCTACGCTGTTCTGCCTGTGGACTCGGAGCTCGCTGGCTCCCCGCAGCGTCTCTGGGGGCTCCACGCCCGCGTGCCTCCTTCACTTATTTAGTTTGCGTTCACTCTCACACTGCTCACGCTTCCTGGAACCTCACTTGAGCTCACTCTGTCCTCTGACCTTCTCCCGACGACCCTGCGCTAGATCAAGAGCCACGGGCAGGGTCCCGGGGCTGTGTGGCTCTGTGGGGGGGCTGCCCTCCCCTGCCCCCCCCCCTTACCGTGCTGTTGCAGCCGGCGAAGCAGGCAGACAGGTAGGTGGTGCCATCGCTCCCGCACACGGGTGTGAACGAGTCTGTCTGGCACGCACAGTGGTTATTGCAGGGTGAGTGGGGGGCCAGGGCCGAGCTGCAGGACGGGGGGACAGAATCCGTGAGCCCCGGGACTCCCCTTCCTCCTGAGCACCGAGGCCCTGCCTGTGAGCACCAGGCAGGCGGTGCTCCTGGAGCAGTGCTCCCCCACCCCGGGGTGCTCGGCCGCGCGGATACCATGTGTGCGGCCGACTCCGTGTCCCACAAGGGACACGCACGCACACACACGTGCGGGGGTGCTGGCGGTCTCCCTGTGCGTCCGGATGTGTGCGTGGCGCTGGAGAGCCAGCCGTGGAGGTGGGCAGGGGCTTGGCCGGCGCTCAGGGCCCCCCACAGGCTCTGGGTGCAGGGGAGAAGGCGCCACATCCAACCAGGGAAGGACGAGGGGCTGTGGGAGCCTCGCCCTGCCTGCTGTGGAGGCAGCTGGGAGGTCTGCCTGGGGGAGGCGCCGGCCGGGGGGTGGAGAGCCAGCCCCCCCACACAAGCTGGAGCCCCAAGACATGGCGGACCCCCGTGGATAAAGGAGAAGGGCTGAGGTGGGGAGGCACCCCTGCATGGCTCCAAGGCCCAGCCTGGTGGGGCTGTGGTCACACACAGTTTGGGGACAGCTAGCTACTCAGGAGGCTGAGATGCGGGGATCGTGGTTCAAAGCCAGCCTGGGGCAGGAACGTCCGTGAGACTCTGATCTCCAATGAACCACCAGAAAACTGGAAGTGGTGCTGTGGCTCAGGCGGCAGAGCGCTCACCTTGAGCTGAAGAGCCGAGGGACAGCGCCCAGGCCCTGAGTTCAAGTCCCACCCCATCCTCCCTCCTGGCCTCCCTCTCTGGAGGCTGGGCAGCCCGGGCAGGCAGGGACTGGGGTTCTGACGGTGGCCGGGGACTCACGTGTTTCCGTAGGGCACGGTCACCCCCGCCACGGGTCCCGTGTCGCAGCCCAGGAAGAGGAAGGAGACGTAGCAGGCGGTGGACACCAGGTTGACCAGCATGGCCATGCGGATGGCGCCCAGGGCTGACAGGCTGAGCTTCTTCACCAGGAGGCCCCCGAGGAAGATGCCCAGGCAGGCACAGGGGATGGCCGTCATCCCTGGGGGAGACAGAGACAGGTTGGTGAGGGGGGAGGGAGGGAGGATGGACCCACGAGGGATATGGCACACTTGGAGGACTCAGGGAGAGAGCCGGATGCAGAATGGCTCAGTGGTCACCACCCGGGCGCTGGTGGCTCACGCCAGTCACCCCAGCTCCTCAGGAGGCCGAGAGCTGAGCATCATGGCTGGAAGCCAACCCCGGCAAGGAAAAATCTGCAATGAACTACCAAAAAGCTGGACGTGGCGCTGTGGCTCAAGTGGTAGAGCGCTAGCCTGGAGCCAAAGAAGCTCAGGGACAGCGGCCAGGCCCCAAGACTGGCCAAAAAAAAAAAGTGACCCTGCCTTAAGTAATGATTCTTCTTTTGGGCTCTTTGGAAGTCTGTCCTCTGTCATGTCTAATCTCTCCAACTCTGAGAGCTGCCCGTCTGGAAGGCCACGGCCAACCTCCTTCTCTCTGGCTGTGTCTCTGTGCAGCCCCCGGTCTGTAATTGATTTCTGTTGTTGACATACATTCGGGTGGTTTGCAGGGTGCGGTAATTCTGTACAGAGTCGCTCGGGACATCGCTCTGTGTGTCTGCGGAAGTGCGTGCACCTAAACACTCATTTCTGTTGGCCAGATGCCCAGGAGCAGGACTGCATCACTGTGCAGACGTAGGCTTAGCTTTCCCAGGCACGGCCAAAGAACTTTCCAGCATGCAGACCCCCTTCCTCACACCTGCCGTGTGACACACACGTGGTGTGGGTCTTTCCCCCACCTGGTGACGGTCTGATCGCGTGTATTTGTGACTTAGGATGGGACACACACCTCTGTGTCTGTTCATTTACCACGCTGTGAAGTGATGGGAGGAGGGAGAGCACAGCGATCTCCCATCCCTCCTCCCAGACAGACAGACGCACTCTTGTCTGTCCAGGGCTGTCCATCTCCAGCCTTGATCCTCTCTGCACGTGGCCTTGGCTGGTACCTTTCTCTCCTCCCAGAAACTCGCACAAGTCTCCAGCACCCAGGCCACAAGCCACGCCCTCTCTCCCTCGGGCCTCTCCCCCTGGGTGCTCTCTCCAGCCTCCCCCCCACCCCCAGCCTGCCTCAGGCCCTCTCTCTGCAGACCTGGCCCTGACCGGCCATCACCTGGACCTCAGGGGCCCAGGTCTGTGTCTTCTCAGCTATTTCTGGTTTGCACCAGCTGAGATGCTGGCTGTGTAAGCCAGGGACTCACGGTGGACCAGATGCTCACCCTCCACTGCTTGCCTCGGTTCTTAGTTCTGTCCACTACTGGTCCAGATCGATACGGACCACGCCAGTGTTTGAGGAAAAGAAGAAAAAAGAGACTGCACCCCAAATGCAAGCTGACTCAGACCGCATTTCTCATCCCTCGAGGAAGCAAAACAGCTGGGTCTGTGGCTTCTCGTAAGGGCTCTGTGGCTTCTCGTGAGGGCTCGTGAGTTTTCTTAGTAGCCCAACTCCAAACAACGGGAGTCTGCTATCCTAAGGAAGACTGGTAAAGCAATGCCGGGGTGTGGGAAGAAAGCTCTACGATCCACTAGTGATGTCTGCCTCGGGCACAGGCATGCCTGCCAAGCTCAGTGTTTTGTGATTGTGTGTTTGTTTTGGTGGCACTGGGGTTTGAACTTGGGGCCTCACACTTGCTAGGCAGGTGCTCTCCTGCTTGAGACATGCCTCCAGCCCGCTTAGCTTTAGTTTATTTTTCAGATAGTTTTCTTTTTTTTTTGTTTAATTTCCTACCTATGCCTCCTGTACAGCTGGGATTACAGGCATGCCTGTTACCATCAGCTTCTTTGTTGAGATGGGAAATCCTACTTACCTTTGTGTCCACACAGGCTCTGGGCTGCCACCCTCTCTCCCTATCTCTGCCCCCTGGGCCTGTCTTCACACATCGTCCTTGTCGGGCCTGACTGGGGGACCTTCCTCGGGTTTCTGGGTTCACAGGACTCTCTCAGTTTCCCCACGCAGACTTTCTATCTGTGTCTTTCACGGAGTGCACATCTCCCCCTGACGGTCCCCGAGGGCCGGGGCTGGTGTGTGCGGCGGCTGCGAGGCCCGCGGGGCGGGCAGGGGGACACACTCACCGAGCAGCTGGTTGGCAGAGGAGGTGGTGAGGTTGAACTGCTGCTCCAGGTACTTTCCCAGGAAGGCCGCGAAGCCGGCCACCACGGCGATCTCCATGCAAGCAGCCAGGGTGATGCAGGTGAACACGGGGTTGGAGAGCAGGTGCTTTGTCACGGTGGGGATCACTGCAGGGGGAGACGGGGGTGGGGGGACGCTGGTTCGAGACCACCCCTGTCGAGTTTCCACCTCAGGGGCTCTGGCTCCAGAAGCTTCCCTGGTTGTACTTTTGGGGGTACTGGGCTGTGAACTCTGGGTCTCAGTGCTCTACCTTTCCTGGCCTTGCTGTTTTTGATGCGGAGTGGGAGGCGGGTCTTGCTTCCCGCTCTTGGACTCCGATCCTCCTATTTCCCCCCCACCCCCATTTCCCACCGTAGCTGGGATGACAGGTGGGTGCCACCATGCCCAGCCCCTTTGTCTGTTGGGTTGGAGTCTGGTGGACTTTTGTGCCAGGCCTGGTCTGGAACTACACGCACTCCACTCACAGCCTCCCACGGAGGGAGGATGGCAGGCGTGAGCCACCAGCACCCGGCCGGGGGTCCGTCGTGACCCGTCCTTGCTTATCTCTGCAAATGGCACCCGGAGGCACCTGTTCCTCAGCCCCAGAGGAGTGCCCGCGGGTCGGCCATTACTGGGAAGAATCTGGTTTCAAGTACACCAACGTCCTGTCGATCAGCTGCTTTCTATGCAAGACAGAGCGCGTGCTGCGCCTCTAGTGTGCCGCAGGGTTAGTGTTTCCCTGGAAACTTACATACCTTTAAAATGATGGCAAGGCACTTCTGAAAACCCTGTTCTCCTCCTCCAAAAAAATAAAAATAAAAAGAGCTCGGGGTTTGTTTATGTATGTTAAGGTTTCTCAAAAGGGAGCCCATGACATCAATGACACATAGTAGCAGCCTATCTAAGGGTATGTTCGCATGCATGCAGATGAATGTAGACTTATGGGAAAGGTCACAGAATTGGGGGCCAGTGGGCCACACCTGTCATCCTCACTACTCAGGAGGCTGAGGATCGTGGTTCAAAGCCAGCTCAGGCAGGAAAGCCTGTGAGACTTTTTATCTCCAATGAACCACTAGGAAACCAGAAGTGGCGCTGTGGCTCTAAAGTGGTAGAGCGCTAACCTTGAGCTGAAGAGCTCAGGGATGAGCACATCCAGGCCCTGGGTTCAAGCCTCAGGACTGAGCAAAAAAACCCCAAAACCAGTAAGCGTGGATACTTTTGATTGGCTGGCTCCATCTCTTCCAGCTGCGGTATCTCCCTGCCCTGGATCCGTCTTCATAAGTTAGTGGAGCAAAGGAAGGGGTCCTGGCCTGACAAAGGCATCTGCAGTTAATGGAACATTTTTCTACTTCAGCAAGTATCTTAATTATCCCAGAGACAATTCCACTGGTGGAGGAAGGACTCCTTGTCCAGACAGGAGTCTGCCTGCTTTGGTCTTAATAGCTAATGATGAATTTCTCCTTGAATTAGATGTGAAAACCATGAAGTTCAGGAGTCGCTGTGCGGGAGGCCGGCGGAGCGGCTGTGGAGCATCTTAGCTGCATGAACAAGTTCTTTTCGCTGTTGTTCACCGAGCCGGCTGGCTGGCGGAACCCACAGCTTCCTCTTGCGTCCTGCCCTTTTCCTCCTGCGTTCTTTCTTTCTTCCGTCTCTGGTTTTTAATGCAATGGCTCCTAGCATTTCTAGATTAGGATTCTTTCCCCCCCTGAAGAGTCTCCTGGCCCAAACCGCAGCCTTAATGAGCTCCATCCTGGGCTTCATTGTTCATTCAGATGGATTGCTACACCCACCAAGTTTGGGTTTTCTAGCATCTTCCGGAAGGATCCGGACTTGCTGGAAATGTGTGGGGCCTGCATTAGGGAGTGGCAGATTTGGGGCCATCCTGAGGACACTGGTTGTTAGAGCACCGATTTATCCATTGATAATAAACTGGTCATTCTTAGGACCCCCCCTCCCAGCCTCTCCAATCCCATTTAAAAGTGAGGAGACTTAGACCAACCAGTGTTGGTAGCTCCTGACTGTCATCCCCAAACCAGGAGGATTGCAGTTCGAGGCCAGCCGAGTCCCATCGCCCCAACTGGCAAGGCCCCATTTTGACAGAAAATGTTGGGCGTGGTGCATCGTCTACAGTAGGAGCTTTGATTTCTTTTTTGAGGCTGATAGGGAGCTATGGACTCAGGGCCTTGACATTCTCCCCCTCCCCCTGCCCCGCCCCCCGCCCTCAATTCAGCCCTGAATTCACCTGCACTTCTGATTTTGTTGTTGTTGTTGTGTTAATGGGAGAGGAGAGTCCCACAAACCTATCCTTCCGGGCTGGCTTTGAGCCACGATCCTCCGATCTCACTGCTTAGCTGGGATTACAGGCGTGAGCCACCCCCGGCCTCAGAAGGCTCCTCCTTGTCATTTCCTTCACTTGTTCATTCAGCCAGCGTGTCTGTCATACCGGACACCACCAGCCATGGGGCTGGAGTGTGTCTCCCTCACTGGCTCTGTGGCTGAAGTTGCTTGGGGACAGCACCCCCCCCGCCCCCCACGCCCAGGGCGCGTTACCACCAGCCCCCGATCATTACTAATCAAAACTTCACGGGTAGCTGCATTGGTCCCTCCAGAAACGTGACCAGAGAAGGCCAGACCCTTCCGGGGCCGGCCAGGAGTCTGCTCTGCCAAGGGCTGGGGATGAGCCTGGTGTCCGGGGTCCCCATCACCCCCCAGCCCCCCGCAGCCCCCCGCCCCCCCGCCCCGTGCTCCCACCGTACCTCTCAGCTGCGCAAAGCAGGAGGCGCTGCTGTCGGGCTCCAGGGGGTGTCTGAGCACCCCGTTGCTGGGCTTGGGCCGCTCGTACTCTCTGTCGGGGAGCATGGCCCGCTCGCTCTCCAGGGTGGGGTCCGCGTGGGGGGGCAGCGTCTGCGGGAAGCCGAACATCAGGAGGGAGGAGAAGAAGAGCAGGGCACCGCACAGCAGGAAGCCGCCCCACCAGGCTCCGATCCAGCGCGGGTCCTCGGGGGTGATGTCCAGGTTACCTGCCGGGGGACGGGGGGGGGAGGTGATGTCCAGGTTACCTGCCGGGGGATGGGGTGGGGTGGGGGTGATGTCCAGGTTACCTGCTGGGGGGAGGCGGGTTCAGTGGGGGGTTGGGGGGGGTGATGTCCAGGCACCTGGGGGGGGGAGGGGGAGGCAGGGCTCAGTGGGGGGACGGGAGGGGGTGTGGCCACTGTGCTCACAGGCGGGACCTGCTGTGCAGCTCTAGAGACGGACGGGGGCGGGGTGGGGGTGGGCGACTGCCCACTGGCCGGGGAAAGGAGTCTGTGTGGCCTCAGTGCTCCTATTTCCTCCTTCCTCCATTCGCTCCTCTCCCCCAGACTCCCAGCACCCGCCCCGCAGCCGCAGCCGCAGCCGCAGCGTGTGTGTCTGGGCCCTGAGAGGCGCTCACGCAGCCCTGCTGGCAAAGCCCCGGGGAATCATGGATTGCTCCAGGGCAGAGCGGTGGGGCATATCCCCCCATCCCCCCCCAACACCCTCCCCCACAACCAGGGCCCCTGAAGCCCCCCCCCCCAGCCCCATCTTCGGTCAGGCTGCAGGGACGCAACTCAGGCCGAGCTGCCTGGCTGGAGACCCCGCCCCGCCCCCTCCTCTCTGTCTCTGATTTGCCAATGACACCCAGGGGACTGCCTGGAAACCTGGCCTGCTGACAAACCACGTTCCTGCTGCCCAAATGGAGACTTAGAGAGACGCGAGCAATAGCCTAGCATGAAAACCACCGGGCTGCGGCCTGGGCCAGGGAGACGGACGACGGACGGTGGGAAGAGCGGCACCCGCAGCCGCGGTGTGCACCGCCCAAAGCTGCTCTTCTGGAAGAATCTTGCCAAAGCCAGCCGCCGTTCCTAGAGGGTTTCCATCGGGCCCAGCGTGGCCCGAGGCTCGCTTGAACGCTTCTGTTCCTCTTCCACACAGCCCGATCTCATGGCGATGTGGAATCGGCAGCCTGGCAGGGTTAGCTTTCACCCAGGTTTGCAGAACTGAAGACTGGAAGGCAGGAACTTGCGGGCCAGGGCTCTTCCAGGCCGGTGGTTTTTCGCTGGACCTGGTCCAGGACCCAGGTCCTGGCTGAACAAAGAAATTCTGGGTGCCAGCCCCAACCTAGCAAGGTCGCTTACACCTGTAATCCTAGTGACTTAAGTGGTTGAGATCTGAGGATTGTAGTTCGATGCTAGCCTTGGGCAGGAAAAGTCCGTGAGACTCTTCTCTCCAGCGATCCTGAAAAAAGCTGGAAGTGGAGATGTGGGTCAAGTTGGTCAAGGGCTAGGGTCCTGAGTTCGAGTTCCAGTACCAGGATTTAAAAAAAAATTATAAAAAGGCTGGATTTGTGTGCGTTGCTCAAGCATACTAAGATTGGGCTGGGAACGTGGCTTAGCATTAGAGTGCTTGCCTAGCATGCATGAAGCCCTGGGTTCGATTCCTAAGTCCCACCTACACAGAAAAAGGCCGGAAGTGGTGCTGTGGCTCAAGTGGTAGAACTGGGATTACAGGTGTGAGCCACAGGTGACCGTCTTCAGCTTGGAGATGGGTGGGGGGCGTCTCACCAGCGTTTCTCCTTTCCTCAAAGTACATCCCTGTCCACGCACACAGGGCCGGCGTGGCTCACAGGATGAGAAACAATGGATGTGCAGGAAGTTGGTGCGGCAGACTGGGAGAGAGCGGGCGGTGCTCTTCTGCCCTCTGCTGGTCAGCAGCAGCTATGGCACGCACCTCTAGGGCCGGGGGAATCTGCCACCAGAGCCTGCCTGCTCCCTGCCAGCTCTGAGAATGAAGATGTGAATGGAATGGAAGAACCATAGCTGTGGCCTCCTTCATTCATTGGCGAGAAGTCTCAAAAGATCTTCCTGCTCGAGCTGGCTTTGAACCACGATCCTCAGGTCTCAGCCTCCTGAGCAGCTGGGGTGAGAGGCGTGAGCCCAGGGGGCCAGACTCCCAAGGCTCAGAGAGTCTGGCTGCTCCCGGGCCTCAGGTTTAGGGACCATGACGGCGGTGCTGGGGCAAAATGCACCACCTGGCCGCCGTGCTTGTCTCTCGAGGTGGCCCCGCTCTCTCCCTGGGGGCCAGTCCCTCTCGTGATCTCTCTGGTGTGGCTTCTGCTGCTGGGGCCCAAGCTGGTCTTTCTGTTGAAGCAAGATGGCGCAGCTTGCTTCGTGGGGTGTGTCTTTAACCAGCCCCTCCCTTCCGGGCGGTAGGAGTGGGGCTCAAGCCCCGCAGAGAGACCTAGCCCTAAGGCTAAGGCTCCGTGCCTGCTGCTGTCCCCTCGGAAGGCCGAAGGCCGCACTGGCCACAGCACGCACCCCAGGGGGCTGGAGGGGAGGAGGGAAGGAGAGAAAGAAGGAGGGAGGGAGGGGCGAGGGAGGAGAGAGAAGGTGGGGGGGGACAGGGCTCCGTTTCTGTGCTGGGCAGACTCGGTGTTGTCTTTCAGGTGCGTGGTTGGGCATGGCCCGGGGTGCCCGCATCTCTGGTGGCCCCGAGGCCCTGACCACCGGTTCTCTTGTGTCTCTGTGTAGTAATTGCTCTCCTATCCGTGGGCCCAAGCGTGGCTGCTTTACACAATCGACAGAAGAGACCAAAAAGCTGCTGCTTCTCAGGGGCGGTGATGACACTGGCTCCTTGTCTCTGTCTGTCTGTCTGTCTGTTTCCCCCAGCTCTTGTCCGGGCGCCCTCTGGAGAGGATGTTCTTGGGGAAGGTAGTAGACAATGCCATGTCACTCATCTGAAGAACAGATCGGCAGCCGGGCGCCGGCGGCTCATGCCTGTCATCCGTCATCCTAGCCACTCAGGAGGCTGAGATCTGAGGATCCTGAGACTCTTATCTCTAGTTAACCATGAGAACACAGGAAGTGGCGCTGTGGCTCAAGTGGTAGAGCGCTAGCCTGGAGCTGAGGGACAGCGCCCAGGTCCTGAGTTCAAACCCTAGGACCATAAAAACAACAACAACAAAATCTGGCCTAGCCCGCACGGACTGTCCACTGCTAAGTCCCAGCTGGAGAGGAGGCCCGGGTGTCTGCGGAACACACTTGCCCGCCCCGCTCAGCACGTCGCACGCCCTGCTTCCGGAGGGCTTCCGGGGCCCACAGAGGCTGCACACGGTGATTTCTAGAAAGCATGTTCAGCCCGCTTGGCCCCATGGGGCCTGACTGCAGCCTTTCGACGCACATCCGCGGAACACGCGTGCAGCCTTTCCTTGGGGACGTGAGTGTCGCTGTGTGAGGGGAGGAGCCAGCCTCGCGTGGCCTGGCCGCTGGCTTCCACCCCGTGCTCTCCCTGGCCCTCCACACAGCGCCGAGGCCCCCAGGATGGTCCTCGTGATCCCCTAACTCACAGGTGAGGATGACTCGGGTTTGCCGAGCAGAAGCGACTCTGGGTAGAAAGATGCTGGCCAGACTCGAACCAGCTCTCAGGCAGGTGCATCACGGTTTGCTGTGGTTTGGATCCGAGTGGCTCTTTCAAACCGTGCGTTCCAGGCCCGGCTGTCCTGGCTACAGGGAGTGGTGGAGACCCCCCCGGGGGCGTGGCCGAGACTCCAGGGGGACGTGGCCTATCAGAGGAAGTTAGGCTATTGGGGGGCGTGGCCTCAAAAGGGATATTGGGACTCTGGTCTCTCCTCCCTCTCTGCGATTCCCAGTTGCCACGAGGGAAATGTCTAGGCTGCACCTGAGCCTGCCTGCCTGCCTCGGGGTGCTGCTTTTACCCTGGCCCCCAAAAAGTGAGTCAGCTGACCACGGATTGAAACCTCTGAAGCCATTAAGCCAAGTAATAAACCTTCCCTGGTTTTAAGTGGATGGTGTGGGTTATTGTGTCACAGTACTGGAAGGCTGACTGAATGTCTGAGAAGCCAGCAAGAACGAGAACGGAGAGTGATAGGGGTCGTTAGGAGCCGAGTTGTCTTTTCACTTACTCGTGTCGATGAAGACGGCATCCACGTAGATTTTGGTACAGAAAGAGCCCAGAATAAACCCACAGGCCGGTCCGAACACCAACATCGTAAACAGGATCCCTGCAAGCAGAGCACAAAAGGGGAGAGGAAGACTCGGTGAGGCTCGAGGCTATTTTCCATCCTTCAGCTGAGATGTCTGCGAACTGCACGTGGCCTGGGATGGCGGGGTAGGCGAGGGGCTGGGGGTGGAGCCTTTGTGCCTCAGTTTTGGAAAACTCCACGCACCGGGAACTGAGCTCAGTCCCTGAGTTCAAGCCCCACGGCTGGTGAAGCAGCCAGGGCCATCCGCTCAGTGTCACCACGCCTGGTCCTCCAGGACCAGGGTCACCTCCCATGGCGACAGCTAAACCCCTCTCCCAATGTCAGATAAACCCAGCAGAGCCCCCAAACCAATGAGGCAGGTGAGAGGAGGAACTTTTTAATCCCAGAAAGATCCCAGGACAGTGACATAAGACAGGCAGCCCTGGAAGCCAGTGTGCTCTGGGTCCCCTGTGCGGGGGGCGGGGGGGGGAAGAGGGGGGTTAGGCAGCGAAGGCTACCTCCATCTTCTAGAAAATGACCTGCTTTCTTGGCTACTACCTTGAATCCCACCCTGCCTGGCTATGATGTTTGTTCAGTCTGTTTAGCAAGCATGGAAAAAAACATGGAACACACTGAACAATGTATGGCCAGGGAGCTGAGCCCAGCCGGGTCCTTCTGTGGGGCAATGCTGCCCCCTGCTGCCCGCAGGTGTCCTGTGCACCTGGAGGAGGAGGAGCTGAGCCCTGTAAAAACCCTTGGTTAAAAACCCTTCATACACATCACCTGCCATCCAGGGAGGCGTGGCTCAGGTGGTAGAGCGCCGGCCGAGGGGTCGGGGGGTGAAGGAAGAATGGCATGAGGCTCTGAGGTCAAGCCCCAGCTCCAGCACATTGATAAATGTAAACCAATAAACACAAATGAAGCCATGGGCTGGCGGCTCACGCCTGTCATCCTAGCTACTTGGCAGGCTGAGATCTTGAGGACCGAGGTTCAAAGCCAGCCTGAGCAGGACAGTCCATGAGACTTGAATCTCCAGTTTAAACACCAAAAAGGCTAGCCTTGAGTGAGAAAGCTCTGGGACAGCCCCCAGGCCCTGAGTTCAAGCCCCAGGACTGAAGTATAAACTCAATGCATTCCGGCAGTGCTTCTCCGGCTCACACCACTAGAGGGCAGCACAAGCCTAGAAATGGGTCATCTCCCTCCAACATACAATTCCCCCCAGATACCGTGTGCGAGTCACAGAAGAAGCTCATCGCAAAGTGTTTTTGTTCACAAAGTGCAGCACTCGGCTGCCAAGGCCCTGGGGCAGGTGAAGTTTGTGCACCCCTCCCCACGGTTCTCCATCCTCCCCATCCCTGAGTTGCTGTGTTTTGGTTGGTACTAGGCTGGCCCAGTTGGCGCTCTACCACTTGATCCATGCCTTCAGTCTTGCTTTTTGTCTTTTGCTCGTTAACTGGAGGTGGGCATCTCCTGGGCTTTTCTGCCTGGGCAGCTGGGGTAGTAGCACCTGGCCACAGGGCTTTCCAATTCTCCCAGTGGTTTTTGGTGCATGGAGAGCCCCGGGCTGCTGGGAGCCTTTGCCCTGCCCGACCTTGACTGACCTTTAGTGTGGGGCGGGGCGGTGTGGGTGGAGGGATGGTGTGGGCCCTGGCGGTGCCAGCCCTGAGAGGCCATGCCCAGGCTCAGGCCGCGCTCCCTCAACCCAGCAGCAGAACCTGGCTGAGGCAGCCTTTCTTCCTGCCATGCGTGGCTAGACTTGTGCAGGACTTACAAGGAAGGTGTGCAGTTTCTCACCCAGTGCACAGAAACTTTTGGGGGTGCAGCTCCTGGGCGGACAGCCAGCCGCCTGCATCTGCTATGCAGCTCTGTCTTTGTACCCCCCCCCCAGAGGCTCCCCCCCCCCCGCCCTAAACCACCAGCACCGTCATCCCAGCCACTCAGGAGGCTGAGATCTGAGGATCGAGGTTCAAAGTCAGCCCTGGGCAGGAATGTGCCCATGAGACTCTTATCTCCAGAAAACACCCAGAAAACCAGAGGCGGTGCTGTGGCTCAAAGTGACAGAGTGCTAGTATTGAGTGAAAGAGCTCAGGGACAGTGCCCAGGCCCCGAGTTCAAGTCCTGGGACCGACGGAATAATCAATCCAGATGGGCTGAGCAGGGCTGTGGTTCCGGGGTCTGGGGGGCACCAGGACGGTGAAGAGCTCCCCCCTCAGGGCCTTCTGGGAAGTGCACTCTGAGGGCCGGGCTTCAGGACTGGTGAGTGGGGTGGGGTGGGGTGGAGGAAGCTGGACAAAGCACAGAGGACAGTCGGCCAGATGGACGTCCCACAGAAGGAAGGACCTAGCCTGGAGTGTCCCAGGGGTGCTGAGGAGGCCTGGGGAGGGGTCCATCCAGTCCCCCAAATCCACTGCCCGAGCATTGCCAGCCCGCAGTCCCGGAGCAACCCCCCATGACAGCCCCCAGATCTTCCCAGTGAGGGCTGCGCGCCCGCTGCTCCGACCGCGGACTGCGATCCACTCAAGGACACCTCCTCTAGGTCTGTGATTGCAGCATGCCCCCTCACGCCCGGCTTGGTATGCTGGCATTGGGTCTCGTTAACTTTTTCCCAGGAACCTTGGCACGCCTCATCTTGGCAGTAGTGGGGATTACAGGGAGGAGCAACGGCATCAGGCCCTCATCACGAAGATCTTTAGCTCCGTATGTCTGAACTAATCAGATGTGTAAAGAAGCTGATCACAGAAAACGGCTCCACGTACACATAAAACTCATGACTGTAATGGTGACGCGCGTAACCATCGTCTCTGGTCTTCTCTGTCTCTGCAAGTCTTTGAAATCTCCGGCAGAAGTGGCAGCGCTTACAGCAAATCAGGCGTGGGGTTGTGTCCTGGCGTTGCCCAGCCCAGGCCTGGGCGCCCGGCCCGCATGGCCTTACAGAAAGAACCCAAGAGCCCGCAGCGCCCAGCATGCCCCAGAGGAAGAGAAGGCCTCGGGGTGGCACAGCGCGGCACCCCACGGCAGAGCCTGGGGGACCCCGGATGCGGGGACAGGCTGGCGTTCAAGGGCCCCGGGGCCTGTTCCCAGCAGCTGTGCCCTTTTGGTCTCTAACCGTCACCCCTGGTGAGGTCATCACCAACTGCTCCGGAACGCCGCCCGAAATAGCAGAGACATCTGGCTGCGACCAAAAAGCCTCCGGGCTGTGGAATTAGAGCGGACACGTGACCCTCCCCAGGCCCCACGCTGCATAGTGTCCGGCTTCAGCTGGCGGAGGAGGGAGGAAGGGATCGGGCCGAGTGCCTTCGCCCTCCTGGAACAGGCCACGGGCTGCTGCCCGGCCGTCTCTCAGCTCTGCAGGCCAATCACGGCCGGCCACACCAGGGAGCTGGAAGACTGAGATCTCACAACTCCACAGAGCCTCCTGGACTCCACGCAGGCCGAAGCCCCTGCCATCACCACCCGCTCCCTTCCTCCTCCCCACACTGGGCTCCCAGCTTCTTTGGCCCATTTAAAGGCAACAGGTGTTTGGGCCAAACGCTGTCTCCTAGTGTGGCATGTCCGCCCGCTGTGGCGCCTTCATTCTGTCCGTGTCTCCACTCGGCAAATCGCCTGTTTCAAGTTCTAGGTCAACATCGTGTCCCCCGCAGGCTTTGCCTTCCTACACGCTGCAGGTTTTGTTCTCCTGGTCTGTTTCTTTGGTCAGTTGTGGGGCTTGAACTTGGGGCCTGGACGCTGTTCCCGAGCTTTGTTGCTCAAATCTAGAGCTCTATCACTAGGAGCCACAGCTCCACTTCTAGTTTGCTGGTGGTTCACTGGAGATGAGAGTCTCATGGACTTTCCTGCCCCGGCTGGCTTTGAACCCTGATCCTCGGATCTTAGCTCCCCCCTCCCCCCACCAGATTACAGGTGTGAGCCACCAGTGCCCGCTTTTTCCTGGTTGTTTATAACGCTATCATAGCCAAGGAACTCAACAAGGTTGACTGACCAGGACAGAACTACATACAAGACAGGGCAACGGGTGGGAGACACTCTGGAGGTGCGGATGGAGGACAGAGAGGCCTGGTGCCCCCCAGGCAGAAGAACAGCGGCTGCAGGGTGCTGGTGGGGTCAGAGGTCGGGGTGGTGGGGTCAGAGGTCGGGGCGGTGGGGTCAGAGGCTGGGCGGACCCCGTGGACCGGCAATGAGGACACGATTCGGGGACAGAGCTGAGGATACTGTGGCTGGTCGGATGCAGGGCGCGATCGTCTGCCAGTGCCAGGTGCTGAATTTGAACCATGGTCTCAAAGAGAGACAGCCAATCAGCGGAGGCTGCAGAAAGAGAGACAGCCAATCGGGGGCCATAGAAAGGGAGACAGCCAATGGGGGGGGGAGAAAAAAGAGACAGCCACTGAGTGCGGGGGGGCACAAAAAAGAGAGGCAGCCAATCAGTGGGGGCCATGAAAGAGACAGCCAATCAGTGGGGGCCACAGAAAGAGAGGCAGCCAATCAGTGGGGGCCATGAAAGAGAGACAGCCAGTCGGTGATTGATGGAGGCAACGGACGCCCGTGAAAAGCACACGTACATGACAAGCCCTGACAAGGACACCTTGTACGTCCCCTTGGGTCCCCACACAATGATGTCCAAGTCTGTCCGTCACCCCTTTGCAGTCCAGGGGTCCCCAGGCGCAGGGACCAGGCAGCTGCCCCCTTCCTCCCCCTCCCAAATGCTCACAGAGTGGCTGGAGTGTCACCATGGGAAGCTCGTGGGATTCCCAGGAGCCCAGAGGCACAAGGCCACACCCACGTGCACGGGACGCACCCCCAAGTGTGCTGATCCCAATCCAATCCACTCGCTTCCAGCCACCCAGTCACGGGACAAGCCGCACCCGGACGCCACTCTTTCAACAGCACAGGGGTGGGGCTGGGGTGGGGGGTGAGGGGGGTCGGGGTCTTGGGGACCTGCTTCTGTGCTGGAGGGAGTTAGCTGCCCCTGGGGCTCCTGCTTAGCCATGCCGGTGTCACTACACCTTTACGAAGTGGCCATTTCATCTTTTTCTTCTCCCTCC